TGAGGTCAAACAGTTGTTGCTGTTTTTGCTGTTTTTTTTTACGCAGCCCTGTTTTGATGAGGGCTGTAAAGCCAGTTGGGCCCTTGGGAGGGAATATCTCACTTGTGCCCAATGTTCTGTATCCAGCAGCTTTCACCTCCAAAGACACCTTGTTTTTTTTCCATTTTTTCCTTTTTTCATTTCGTATGGCCCTGTTTGCTGAGGGCAGTAACTCTCTTTGGGCCTCTTTCTACACCACTTGAAAATACTTGAGTTTCAAGGGCACCCTAACTCACGGAAGGTGATTAATTTCCCCTAACTTGTTTTTTAGTTCCAGAACCCCTTGACGAAACCCTTGAGACGGCCGTCCTTGAAACTGAAGTGCTGACGTCATTGCACCACGAACAGTGGTGATTAGAGGGAAAAAAAAGAAAAAAAGAAAAAGGTCCGTATATTACCCTTTTGAAGGGTGAAACCCTTGCGCCCCAAGTGACCTCCCGAGGCACCCTTGGGATTTTCGTCGATTTGCCTAGGCCGCACTTCCATTTCAAGGGCGGACACTTGGCCGCGAGGATGTGAAAACAATTACCGACTTCAAGGGTGCGTGATTAGGGCGGGGTCGAATGACGCTTCCTTGAAAAACAGCAATTTCCAAGTGGTGTAGAACGAGGCCCTTTGGCAGAGCATACTCTCACATGTACCCAATGTTCTGTATACAACTGCTTTTACATCGGATTCCCTAACGTCGTTGCTTCTCTCCCTTTTTTTAGGACCAGAAAAGGAAATACAATGGGACCCAGGCTCGACAAAACTTGGTGCGCAGTGAAATTCAGGGTCGGCAGAAACAGGCTCGGAGGTAGTTGTGGTTTAAGAATAAACAAGTGGACCCAAAAAACATTTTGCGAAACACCCCAGCCATCAGTTGGACCCCATCTTTGCAATGTACCCGTACTGGACACTGCCCAACTTTGCAAAATGAGGAGTGGATTTAGCGCCTGAAACTGGACGTATCTGAGGGTAGTTGCACGTAGAGGACTGGATTTAGCGCCTAAAACTAGACGTATCTGAGGGTAGTTGCAGGTAGAGGACTGGATTTAGCGCCTGAAACTGGACGTATCTGAGGGGAGGTGCAGAAAATCGCGTTTGATCTGTGTTTCTGCATCCCAACGTAAAAACTTCCCTGAACTAGAAACCCGCCAACAACCTCCAGCTCCCCGCTCTTCACCGCACGACCACACAACCCTTTCCCTCGACCGCCACCACGTTACCTGAGGAAACGACCAGTTGGTCTCCGGTTGGCGACCGCAACCCTATTTTGCATACAACGATGCCCTGTATACCCTTCTAAGCCATACTAAGCGGTCGACGACATTCCCCATATGGAAAGCGATCGCTACACACGACAAAAGACATCAGTGTATACGCAGCCATCCTGGTTGCGAACATTTGGTGAGTGCTGCGTGAGGCCAAGACCTCCCGCTGTAACAGCGGATGATATGCGACGGTGCGGTTCAAGGCCGATAAAACTAGTAGAGCACATGTGACGAACCACTTTCTGTGCCGCGGGACTTTCTGCGCGATGACGATGAGGGGTCCTGAGATGGGAAGGTTGGGAAAATTACGGGAGGTGGGATCGGCGGGTAAATTGCGTCGGTATCCTCACTTCTTTCTTTTCCTTCGCTTCGCTCCTCCCCCTTCGGTGGTGATGGGACAGGCCCGAGACGGACGGTTGAGTGTGCACGCCCTGTTGGGCGCGATCAATAACGGTTGGCGATGGTTCCTTCTTGCTCTGCAGGGAATAAAAGGGGGAAACTGAGATTTTTGGTGCGATGCTCGCGCGGGAGCTTTCCGTTTTCTTTTTTAAATTTTCCTTTCAACTATGGACAAGCCCCGAGGGCTCTCGGAATTTTGATTTCTTTT